CCCCAAAACCCCAAAACCCCAAAACCCCAAAACCCCAAAACCCCTTTGTTAAAAATTAATATAGGAAATAAAATAATTATGGAATTTTCGAACAATATGGAGTTTATAGCTCCAAAAGACCTTAATATTGCTGAATTCATCGACCATTTTAACTCATACGAGATCCACAAAAGCAAACTTGAGTCAATCAGAAGAGAGCTTGAAAACAGAGGAGTTATTGACGAGGAAGCAGAGATGTTGAAGCTCCGTATTCTCAACAACAGGTTCAAGTCTCATGAATTTAAAGCCAACGAGCGTATAAATGAGATTAAATAAGAGCAACCAGTTGTTACTGGATAAATTACTCGAAATCTCCAAAGGGAAATTTGCTGCGCCAGGTATGAACCATAAGCAGCCTAAAAAGAAACGTAAAGGACCCAAATCCCTGAATTGTGTGACTAAAAGAAAAGAGCTAGAGCGGATAGACCAAGAGAATATGAAATTGATGAATCGGATAGTCAACCAAAACGCCATGCTTAATACTAAAAAGTTTGAAGAGGAATACCGGAAGAGAAAAAGACTCCAAAAGAGCCTTCAAAGGAACAAACTTCAGCCGATCCAAAACATGCTGAGGAAGAAGAAGCTTAAAAATCAGAGATCTGTTGGAAGATTGCCTTCTATTGCAGCTGCAGGAGATACGCCTCATAATAGAGACCAAGAGAGCGCAGGTGGTAATGGGATTGAGCATAAAAAGCGTGAGAAAACTACTGACTTCATCCAGCGGAACAAGCAAGAAGTGCAGAAGAAGACACCCTTATATGAAAAACGGACTCCCGTTAGCTCCAAAAAGGCCGTACGAGCGACGCCAGGTAAGAATTCCAAATACCGGCCTGTGCTAAAAGACAGGGAACAGAAGACAAAAGCTACTAAAGATGTTCGAAAATCACAGACGAAGAAGAAGACTGAAGATCCTTATAAACACATTCCTAGTGAGAAGGTAGAGAAAGCTCCTAGCTCCAAAAGCAACCGCTCCAAAGTAAGCTCTAAGAAGGAATCCTCGCATAAAGTGAACATTGAGACTATCCCAACACCTGATAAAGCTAGCGATTCTAAAGAGGAAAAGCCTGATAGCCAGATTGAGGAAGAAAAGAAGCCTCACAAAGATGAAAGTGAATCTAAGCCCTTCGCTTTTGGAGATGATGGCTCTGAAAAAGGAGACGTCAAGCAAGAACCTTCATTAGAACAGCCGAAAGAGACTCCCAAAGAGATAAGTGAGAAGGAACCTGTTTCGGAGAAGAAAATCACTAAGCCAGAAACGAACCAAAAACTATCGGAGCCCAAGCATGAAGCACCGAATGATAAGTTTGAAGAGGAAAGTATTGATGACGACTACGAGAAATTCTCTGATGAAGAAGCCCCAGCTCCAAAGGTAGAAGATAAGAAGGTTGAAGAACCCCTTGATGAGAGCATTGAAGATCCGATCCCTGACACAACCTCAAAGCCACAAGATAAAGCACCTGTTAAGAACGTCCCAGAGGCTGAGAAGCCCAAGGATGATAAAGAAGATTTTATTGAGGAAGAGTACCTTGACGACAACTTCGATTTCTAATCCTGCATTTAATTCATTAGCAGTTTCAATATGACTTGATTAACAAGGGGTTTTGGGGTTTTGGGGTTTTGGGGTTTTGGGGTTTTGGGGTTTTGGGG